ATTATTATTATTATTATTATTATTATAGAAAAAATAGAAATAAATAAAAAAGTAAAGTGTAGCCTGGGACTGGCCAACCAGAGAGATAAAAAATGAATCTACGGGCCCATGAGGGAGATTCGGATTGGAGGGCAAGGTAAACGGCAGGTGTGACGACGCCACACCAAACTCGCAAAATAAAGCACACCTCTTTACGAGTGGAATATAAATAAGTCAGAGGTTGCGATACAGTGGGAGTGAGACAAGAAGGTAGGGAGTGGATAGATGGGCGAGAATAGAAAGAGGAATGATAATACAGCAGTTTTGGCAGAAAGTTGGTCAAGGGATTGACTTCACTTGTCTCTTTGATGAGTTGTAGCTTGGTGCTAAAATGGCAGGATTCACTGACGACGAAACTTCTGGGAATGCAAAGAGTCCACGGTCCGACGCCGTGAATTATGATAACAGCTACAGCAAAAGACTTTGGATAAGGTGTGACCAACTAAGTCTTCCTGACAACGCGACCAAGTTGCGAAAATGAGGTCAAACTATTTCTATACCTAACTTCCTATCGTAATCTCCGATTGCTCTTCCACGGTTGGCACTAGAGCCTGAATGAACCTCGGAACTGGAATATTTGTATACATAAATAGCACATCAAAACTTATTAGTATGCCTTTTTACGAAATTCTCTGCTGGTCCACTAATTTAACAAATTTAATGCATTAACCTGGACGTAATATTCAAGCCAAACGGCTTTAGTAAAACGGGTTTTAATCGTCATTTTTTGGTGAGGTCTACCTTCATCATGAACTTGCATACAAAATAGGAGTCTTCACATCAATATCCTGATTTTTTTAGATTAATTTAAAAGACTTAGAGGAATGGACATGAGCGATAATTCAGATCCATTCAGTAGATTGAAAACTGCGAAAGTATTAAATTAATTTCTCTTAATATCTACTATCAATTTGCTTATCAACTCTATACTCTACTTTATGCAGAGGATATCATCTCTCGGGTTCTCCTGCCAACGTGAATCGATCTGCGTGGCGAGCCAAGTCAACATCTCTTATCGTTCCTTGCAGCAACATCGTCAATGTTTCTGGCAATACTGAAGCTGGTCGGTCGAGCCGTCAATCTGCTTTGAGGGTCTGTACAGATGCAACGGTCTGTCAACAGATCTGCGAACACTCCACCTCTCCTGATCTCCACGGATGCCAAACCTCTGGGCCTTCCTCTTCTTCATCCTCATATTCTTGTTCCGTAGCAGCGTCTATACCATCTCCTTCCTCCCCTGCCTCTCTGCTCGGACCACGCTCTTCCTCGCGCTCGTCTCCTGGAAAGACACAATGTTGCACAGGTCTCATTATTGAAGCAGCTAGCACATCACCTGACTCTGCAATCACTGGCAGTAGCTCCTCTTCACTCGATTCGGGTGTGTCGCTCTCTTCTTGCGCTCCCTGCTTGAAATCTGGTGATTCTCTTCTTGGCCCTGGTCGGCAGAAAGCTCGTAAGTTATTCTTGATCACCTTAACTCGCTTTTCATTTATCGCTGTTTCTAGTTTGCATAAATATTGTCAGGTGGTGGTGTACAAAATATAGAAAGCCTAAGAACTCTTACAGGAAAACTGGGTTTCGCAGAATCCCTTAATAGATTGATGTGGTAGTATCTTTTATTTC